TGATCATGCATTTTGTTATAGTGACCAAAAGCTAACAGGTGAGAAAAACCTAACTATAACTCTGGAAAATGGAAGACGAGATGAAGGAATATCTCTCTCTTGATGTCCTAGAAGAATATTGACTGAAATCTGTCATTAGTAAGTGTGGCTGGGTGAAACTCTGTGATAAACATTGAATGCTTTTAGGAATGCTTGTCTTGCTTACATCTTCTCTCTTGTACATACTTACACTTAGGGTCAAAATGTTTTAATTTTAAAATTTCTCATAGGTTTCTATTACCTTACAAGTCATCACTGTATGATTTTAGATAAGTTGTTTAAGATTTTTAAATTATGGTTTCCTCACTTATTGCATAGGTATAGCAATAGTATTTACTTCATAGCATATGAAATTTAGGTGTGATGATGCATGTAGCAAAGTAAGATCTCAATAAATTTGAACTATTGGTGATACTGATATTGGTTTATGACTGTCCCTTCTTAGCACATTGCAGAGAGTTAATGAATATCTCTGGGAAATGAATAAAGCTTAATGTTTATTTAACAAGAAAATAAAGCTTTTCTTCTTCATCAAAAGAATCATCATAATAAAAGGGTGCATACATCAATAGGGAAACTGGCATGCAAATCAATAATTAATCAATGATTTTGTGTTTTCATAGATTTATTAAGTATATATTTTATGAAATACTTTCTGTGTGCCAGGCATGTCCTAAGCCTAGTGCATGCAGACACGAATAAAAGGGAAAAATTATATATCGGTATGGAGTTTAAATTTCTTGAGGACAGAAGATGTAAGGAGTTGAGCATGCAGCTCAGTGGTAATAGTTTGCCTAGCACGCATGAGACCCTGGGTTCAATTCCCAGCACCACACACAAACACACACCAACACAAATATGTGAGTAAACAAGCTAATGTATAATGTCCACTAGTGATAAGGACCAGGAAGAAAAAGTTACATAGGGAACAGGAAGTGGCATTTGAACAAAATGCTCTTATATTTCTGCTGAAATCAGTGAGTTTCTCTCTACAGAGAAATTACTTAAAATGGGTTTTGAACATGATTAGGTACTCATTATGAGAAGTGAAGAAAAGAATGGAGGTGAAGGAGGAGCTACTAGTGTAAAGGCAAATATTTAACAAAGATTATGAATTATTTGGATAAACTCATATTGATTCATTGAAGGTTTATTAAGGACCATACCTAGTGGACCAATTCTATGGCCTATGCTCTGCTAGACATTTTAGTTTAAATGAATTATCTAAGATTCCTTTCTATGTCAGCACATTGATAGCTACATTATATGCATTCCAATAAAAGATAGAAGGAGTTTTCTTTTGTCAGATTTTTCACTGCTGCATCTAAAAGACCTGACCAGAACAATTTTAGGGGAGGGAAAGTTTATCTAGCATCTCATAATTTCAGACATTTCAATCCATAAACAGCAGCTTCCTTCCTCAAGGCTCAATGTGAGGCTGAACATCATGGAAGAAGAGTGTGGCAGAGGGAAGGAGCTCACATGAAGTTCAGGAAGCAGAGTCAGGTCTCCACTCACCATTTAAAAAATACATACTTCAGTGCCAGTCCTGAAGTGCCCCCACCTGCTTTCAATTACCACTCAATTAATCCTATCAGATGATGAATTCACTGATTGGCTTTTACACACCAATCATTTCCCCTCTGAACCGTCTTGTATTACTTCACACTTGAGCTTTTGGGAGACACCTCATATTCAATCCATAACAGAACTATTTTAAACAAAGGACTTTTAACTAAGGGATTAACAAAAGTGGTAGGTTTTTAATTTGGGAGACTATATAGTAATAGATGAGAAGGTACATAAATAGTACAAGTGCCAAAGACTAACAGTAATAGCACATTAATGGGAAAGGATAACATGAGATTCCTAAGTAGAAACAAAGACATATAGGTATATTAAAGAACATTGACCAATTGGATATAGAGATGGGAGATGGGTGCAGGAAGCCTCTTCACACTTTTGCCTGGGGGACTGTATGGATCACAGCACCATTATCAACCAATCTGTATGGTCTCTGTAGTCCACAGGAAGATGAGTGACAGAAACACAATAAAATACAGAAAAATACCAAGCCTCAGAATCTCCAAGTTCATAGTCAGAACCTTAGATGATCCAGTGCTTCAATTTAGTCTCCAAACTTCAAAGGCTAGCAATGATATATGTCAAACATATTTCTAAATATTAAAAAAAATAGAAAAACCTTTATTCAGATTGGCAAAACTGATCAGTTATATTGAAATTTTGATCTATAGACATGTTGAAATATTAAACTCTTCCTTTGTGATAACAGAACATTTTTTAATTATTAAAGAGTGTTTGTATTGATTTTCATCACTGGATTGCCTGTGACCAGTTAAATGAGTTTGATGATAATAAGTTATCATGATTTATGTTTGTAATTTTTTTCCAGAAGTGGTAAAATAACTTACTCTTTGCATTCATATTTCAAGAAATTATTCATCCTCCAATTTTATTCTATAATGTTCATCCAGTACCCTAACTTATGCAACCACTGCTCATTGGAACACTGGGGTATACTTACAAGTCTTATGCCTTCTTCAAAATTAGCGCCCATATTTTTCATTTAGAGATTTCCTCTCTAGTGGCATTCAGAAGAAATGTGTTTTAATATTGTATGGATGTAATATATATAAATAAATGTTCAGTTCTCCCAACAGAACTACTTAGTGGCTGCAGTTTTGAAATGTGTTTCATGTTCCCAGCTTCCAATTCTTTAACAATCTAACCAAAAGTGTAAATGTAGTTTTTGCAATATGCTTCTAAAAGCCATGACATTCAGGAGAATCAATAATTATATTTGGGCACAAATCAAATTTAATAGTATCTGGACAGTTCAGAACAGAAATCAAAAGGGCCTTCAAGTAAGACCAGCCATTAAACCAAATGTGCATGATATACATGGTCATCTGTAGTCGATGTAATATCTGTCTAGAGAAAATTATATAGAGTTCTCATATCTTATACATTACAATGATTCTTTAAAAGGAAACATGATTTTCCAAATACATTTATCAGAGCAAGGTTTTATATAACTACATTCCTAAGAAAGAAAATGCAAATTTGCATGCATACTAGTTTACATATTGTTGAATTTTATAGTTGATGATGAAGAATGAAAACTCAATGATGAAAATCATACAGAATAGTAACTGCATAACTAATATATAGGGACCATTCCATGCTCTTTTAGTTTAAAGCATGAAATAACTATTTGATGAACTCTTATTTTGTCCAACGGATTTAGAACAGACTAAATTTTAGGATTCAAGACCACACAGGAAAAATTAAATACTTCAATTGCAAAAAAGACTGTGAATTGATGGTTTCCATTTTAACAATATGTGAGCATGGTTATGTGTTTCTCATTTCATTCTCACAAATACAATGAAGGCCTTTTATGTGAGTGACTGGTCTATTGAACTATGAATTTCTTTCCTCCCTC